AGGAAAAGGGAACATTGTCCATTTAACAAGCAATTTAATCCACTCTTTACAGTCCTCCCAGACTTCCAGATATGCAGACTCCTGGGAAGAGTGGCCCCCACTGAGCACCTACTGTTTGCCAGGTACTCCCATTACACTGGGATACAGCAATGTAAATAATAGACAATGACCCCTGATCCCATGAAGCTTAAATTCCACTAGAGGGAGTCAGCCTATCAAGTGTAAAATCATAAGGAAATAAATTATATCGTAAGTCAGAAGGTGCTTCTGACAAAAGCATGCTTCTGACAAAAGCATGGAGTAGGGTGGAGTCCTATGAACACATGGGGATCATTAAGATGGGAAGCACAGGGTTGGCTTTGGGAACCAGGGAAGGAGCCCAAGGGTCTGGGGAAACGCATCACCCCTGAGGGAGCAGTGAGAGTAGAGCTCAAGGGCGGGGCAGTGTGAGGCTTGCTTACGGCAGAACCAGGAAACCAGAGAGTTGAGAGCCCGATGAGTCAGGTCAGAGCCATGAAAGGGTTTTTATGATTAACAGGGAGGATTCAGGGAAAATGGGGCCAAGTAGGCATTGGAAGGAACTGGCCTTTTACTCTGATCATTCTCTTTGGCTAGGTCTGTTCGGAATAGGACCTTGGCTGCTCAACTGTAAGCAGGTGCCTTAGAAAATCAGACAGGTTCTCCAGGCAGAGAGCATCAGCAGCCCTGGGCTTCCCAGATATGTCTGAGGACCACGCGATTGGCAATTATACCTTCTGAAGTGGTAGATACACTCTGGATTCATGGCAAGATCCAGAGAATCCCTCTTTTTGGCATTTGCATCTTTATTCCCATGCCCCCAATACTTTTAAAGACTGTAGTTTAGACTCTCATTCCTGTTTTTAGAAAAACAATTCTACTTGGAATTCCAAGAGTGGTGTCTCCTTTATGATATTAATTCCAACTCACACCATAACTCAGACTCCGTAGGTGTAATCATCCCTGTTCTTAATGCAATCAGGAGAGGGTTTGCCACGTCTGTGCCGCTGGGGATGAGGAGAAGGAAAGACAGTTAAGGTATAGAGGAGACTTCGTGGCACTTTCTACAGAAACTTCAATGTGTGGATGCAATTTGGGAAATGTTCTCAGCAGATGGAGGCACCAGGAGGAGTAGCTGGGGCAGTGCGGACTCACACATCTGCTTCCCTGGGGGTTTTTGTTATGGCTTGTAACACTGTGGACGGGGTAGTATAATCCTGTTGACAGTAATAAGTTGCAACATCTTCAGGCTGCAGGCTGCTGATGGTGAGAGTGAAATCTGTCCCAGATCCACTGCCGCTGAACCGAGATGAGACCCCCGTCTGCAAACTGGAGGCAGCATAGATCAGGAGTGTAGGGGCTTTCCCTGGTTTCTGCTGATACCAGTCTAACTCCTTGTTAATGCTTTGACTCGCCCGGCAAGTGATGGTGACTCTGTCTCCTACAGATGCAGACAGGGAGGATGGAGACTGGGTCATCTGGATGTCACATCTGGCACCTGAGTTTGGAAACATAAAGACAAACATCTACACAATCAGTCATGCTATATAAAGCCCTCCCCAAAAATCCAGCCAGTACTGAGCACACTGGCTGAGTAAATGCCTAGTGTTCTCCTTCCTTACCTCGGAGCCAGAGCAACAGGAGCCCCAGGAGCTGCACGGGGACCCTCATGTCCATGCTGTGTCCTGTCTGAGACTGACTCCTGCACAGGGTGTGACCAGGCTACAGAAAAGTCTTCAGGGCAGGGAGGGGGCTGTGCTCTGGGAACATGCAAATCAGCAGGGGATGGGGCTGGCTGGGCACAGCTGCAGGGCTGGCTCATCTCAGTAACTCAGCACAGGGGCAGTGTCCCCAGGGTCTCAGGCTGGACCAGGGCAACACAGATTTGCCTTTAATCTGTTTCTTTCTGGGGGTCAATTTGTAACAAAGAACATTTTTTGATAATTGTCAAAGTTTGAAGTACTGCTGAGTACTTGAGGGAGTAATGTATTCCATTGGCGTATGGGGATTATTTAGGAGAAAATTATTCTCTGTAGGAAACTCAAAGTAAAGTTTTGAGTGTGGTATCAGCAGGTCTTCAAAATACTCTGAAAGAGAGGGGGATACTTTGTGGTATAGTTACAACATTTCTGTGAATGTGTAATTGTTCCTTCTTAAAAAAAAGAAGAAAAATATCAAGATAATGCTAAATATATTTGTAAATATTCTATAATAACCTTAAGCCATTCTTATTATCAGTATAAGGTCAAACAATTCACTGCAGGTGCGCAAAGATGGTGCTATAAGTCCTCAATGTGTGTATCATTTACAGTTCCACATTTATGCAAACCTATAGGCCTCAATAATGCCCAGAAAATATGTGAGTTGCATCTTATTTTTGCTTTGGGGATCTCTATATTATACCTCCTTTTCTGTCATTGAGTATTTTTCCCAGGGTTTATCAGCAGAAAGGGCTGACTAGTGGTGCTGGATCTGATTACTTAAAAAAAAAAAAAGTTACGGCCGGGCACAGTGGCTCACGCCTGTAATCCCAGCACTTTGGGAGGCTGAGGCGGGCGGATCACAAGGTCAGGAGATCGAGACGATCCTTACCTTGTGGTGAGGAGACATGGTGAAACTCCGTCTCTACTAAAAATATAAAAAAATTAGCCGGGCGTGATGGCAGGCGTCTGAAGTCCTAGCTACTCGGGAGGCTGAGGCAGGAGAATGGTGTGAACCTGGGAGGAGGAGCTTGCAGTGAGCCGAGATTGTGCCACTGCACTCCAGCCTGGATGACACAGCAAGACTCCGTCTCAAAAAAAAAGAAGAAAAAACGTTACTTGTTTCTTCCTCCAATTATATGAGCATGGATATAGATAAACTTGAAATTATCTAAGGATCAATTGTCTCCAAAGTAAGAAGACCAATATTATATTTACTAAGTAACAGTCTCAGTGGCACTGCTCACCAGCATGTTCCTGGGGACTCCGGAGCAGCTTCTCTGGAGCCTGAATTTCGTACAGTGAACCCTCTCTCCTAGTAAGGGCAGCTGCTGCTCAGCGCATGTCCCTGCCATGCACTATCAATGCCACTTTTCTCTTTCACTGTTTAGCAGTAAGTGGGGACATTCTGATCAAGATGCCAGCCTCCTGTCTGACATCCAGGACAGAGAGTCTCCATCTCCTATCAAGCAAATGCCCATGTATATGGAGAAATCACTTGGATTTGGATAAAACTGGACACAGATTTGGACCCATTATATCTCACATCATCTCAGCCTGGTTCAGCAGCAGAGGAAGTGGATCCACCTACATCAGCATCAGTGGGCTTCAGCCTGCGGTTCTGGGGAGTATTACTGATTCATGAGTAGAAGTGGCCAAATGACTCTGGTGTAGCATCTGCACACACCCTCCTGCTGCCCATTTAGGGGCTTGAATTTTAAGGAAACTTGCTTGTGTAGGGTGAAATGTGAAAGTTTGATTTCGTCCTCTAAAAGTTTGCTTAAAACGAATGGACAAAAGACAAATAATAGGAGAAAAAGGCAAACAAATTTATTTAACATGCAGAAGAAAAAATCACAGGAGAGAGATACCCAGATAACCCAGTGAGGTCCAGGTGTTTATACATCCTTTATAGGGGAGAGGGAGGTGGGGACTGTAGGCAACCTAGGGAGAGTAAGTGGCGTAACATAAAATAAATGGGTCCTTAAAAGAATAGATAATTGACTGGATGAAGTCAATTTCCAATCTCTTTTGAATTTAACTCTTAGTGCATGTTAATATTCCCTGATAGATCAACATTCCCAGGGAAGGTTTTCATGACAATTGGCTTCCTTCTAGAGTAACTGATGTAGGAAAATAGTCTTTGTCCAATTGATGTTTTCTAAATGCTTTCAGTTTGAAATAGGCACCACACAAATGCAGCATATCTTGAGATGTTATCTCTCAGATTCCTTCTCTTGCAACTGACCTGCCAGGAAACACCATTCCAGAGGGATGCAGCTCCAGGTGGAAAGTACAGGTGCTTTTTTCTGGATGAATGCATCAGTCCATGTCTGCATTCAGGCCTTTTGCTTTCACTGTGCTCCTGCTGGTTTCCCATTCCCACCTCTGTCCCTCACTGCTGTCTCTGAGAAAAGCAGCTCTGCCTGCATGCATGGCAGACCACAGGGCCTGGAATGAGCCTTCCCTTGGTCAGTGCTATGGTTTCACTCTGTCCCCTTGAATCTACCTGCTGTTACCTTAATCCCGAAGGCAACAGAATTGAGAGACAAGGCCTAATGGGAAGTGTTTAATCATGAGGGCTCTGCCCTTATGAATAGATATATGCCACTATAAGCAGTGCTTATGTTATGGAAATAAACTGGATTTAGATCACTCAGGGTAGTATAACCAATTATCCACACTGAGTTTGCGGCAGGAAAAAGGAAGGCATTTATTTGCGGGCATCAAGCAAAGAGGACCGGCAGCTAACGCCTCCATCCTGACCTGCCTGATGGCTTACAGATAAGGGTTTTTTAAAAGGAGAAATAAACTTCAGGAAATCAGAAGTTACAGGCAAAGTTAGAAATCATTACATGGAGGTTACACTTTGTTTTTGGCCTAAGAGGGCAGGATATCATGAAGCAGTGGGATATCTTACAAGACATCAATAGATCCAAACATTTTCTGATGTGTAATTGGTTTAGAAAAGAAGCTTTGTTTAAAAATTTGGAGTCAGCTTGAAAGAATATTCGCCCTGGCCCATGGATGTGGCTTTTTTTTTTTTTTTCTTCCTGAGACTGAGTCCCACTCTGTCACCTAGACTGGAGTGCACTGGTGTGGTCTCGGCTCACAGCAACCTCTGCCTCCTGAATTCAAGTAATTCTCCTGCCTCAGCCTCCCAAGTAGCTGGGATTACAGGTATTTGCCTCCAAACATTTTCTGATGTGTAATTGGTTTAGAAAAGAAGCTTTGTTTAAAAATTTGGAGTCAGCTTGAAAGAATATTCGCCCTGGCCCATGGATCTTTTTTTTTTTTTTTCTTCCTGAGACTGAGTCCCACTCTGTCACCTAGGCTGGAGTGCACTGGTGTGGTCTCGGCTCACAGCAACCTCCACCTCCCAGGTTCAAGTGATTCCCGTGCCTCAGCCTACAGAATAGCTGGGACCACAGGCGCCTGCCACCATGCCTGGATACTTTTTTGTGTGTGTGCCAGGATCTCATTCTGTCACCCAGGCTGGAGTGCAGTGGCACCATCGTAGTTCACTGCAGCCTTGAACTGGGCTAAGCCTCCCAAGTAGCTGGGACTGCAGGCACTCATCATCATGCCCAGCCAAAACTGAAGACTTAATGGACTATGTGGTGGATAAGTCACTGCTGAAGAGAGAGGGGAAGCAGAAGGGAGAACAGTAGAAGTTACCCAGTGACCAACACAGGTCAGTGTGAGGGAGGCTGAGCTGGGAGAAAGAGGACAATAAGAAGGAGGCCTAACAGGCATCTGAAGAGTCCAGAAGAAGGGGCCTGATGAGGAGATGGCTTAAACTTTTCCAGAATTGCTAACTACGGGGCCCTGGGAGTCGGGGAGCATGATGGCGAAGGGGCAGTGAGAGCCTGAAGTTCTGGAGAGCAGAGCCCGTGTACTGGACAGAGCCTCACTCCGGGATGGCAAAGGGGCAGTGAGAGCCTGAGTTCTGGAGGGCAGAGCCGTGTGTTGGACAGAGCCTCACTCCTTGAGGGAGAAGTGCATTTTGTCACTGATCATCTTGCGCTCGGGGTTGAGGCACCTGAGGATCTGGGCCAGCACGTTCACTGTCTGCTCGCTGATCAGCCCTGTCTTCTTGGTCTGGAACTTTTTCAGCAGGTCCTTAGTGGTCATGGGCTTCCCTGTCAGGTAGAGGCGCGCAGCATCCTCAGTCACCTGCACGTCGCCGCTGCTGGATGTTGACTTGCCGGATGGCGGCTAGGGGGTCGACTTCCCAGACAGGCTCTGGGGCACCGCGTCCAGCCGCAACCGCTTGGCTGCAGGCATCTCGCTCACCCGCTTCCCTTGCTGGTAGTCGCCCGCAGGGTGGAGGAGGTGCTGCCACCCTCTGCGCTGGGCGTGCCTGGGCGGCTGTTGCCCCTCCAGCTCCCTCCCGACGGCTTCCACTCTATCGTGGATGGCATCATCTTCTTCGCCATGAAGAGGGCCGAGGAGGCCTAGCTGTCAATGTCGCTCTCCTCTGAGCTGTCCGACTCCTAGCTGCTGTCTTTCTTGCCCTTCTTCTCCTGCGGGGTGGCCGCCTTCTTCTCCTCCTACTCCTTGTCCTCCTCGGGCGACTTCTCCTCCTCACTCTCCTCACTACTGTTGCTCTGCTCATCAACACCCTTGGGCCCCTCCTCCTGCTGGGGCGCCTTGGCCTTGCTCTCAGGCTCATCCTGGGAGCTGCTGGAGCCGTCCGACATGTAGTTCACCTCCTGGCCCTCGAAGTCCCCATCATCGCTGTTCTCGAAGGCCTCATCGTCTGAGCCCTTCTTCTTTTTCCTGCCGCCCTTGGCCAGTGGCTCCTTGTTCTTGGCCTTGGGGGCTCTGCCTTCTCCTCACCGCTGGCGTGGCTGGCATCGGATGACATCTCCAGGTCGTGGATGCGCAGCTCGTTTGCCTTCCTGCGACCGCGTTTCTCCTTCTCCTCCTCCTCGTCCTCGTCCTGGTCCTGATCCTTGAGCCGCGGCTGCCGCATGATGTTGAAGTGGTTCCGCACCTTGTTCCTCCTCTCCCCCTCCTCCTCGGCCTCCTCGGCAGTGAGCGTGCGGTGCCTACCGGGCCAGCAGCGTGAAATTGTACCAGTTGTGCACGGGGAAGGCCTCCAAGGCCCCGTCAGGGCACTGGGTGAAGATATAGTAAGGCGTGTTCTCTGTCACCCTCCCTTCTTGATGCCCTTGAACTTCCTGCCCGATTTGCCGTTGACCCGGAGCAGCCAGGGCTGGTCCTCGGGCCAGAACTCCTAGAGGACGATGCCGTACTTCTTCCTCCGAGCCTCCTCCCGAAGCTTGCGGTTGAACTCGCTGCCCGCGCAGATTCGGACATCTCCTCTTGGTAGATTTTCTTGTTGCTCAAGTCCCGCTTCAGCCGAGCCTGATTCCACGTAGCAAAGTTGACTTTATCGGCTGCATTAAAAGCCATGATGTTACATTTTTTGGTTGTATTCTTGGGAACTCGAACGACGTATTTAGTGACGTTCTGGCTGCTAGGGCTAGGGCCACCATGGGCAATGGTCAGTGGTTCCCATCTGCTCTGACCCAGGTTCCTTTCGTTCCCTCTGGCATGCGCATCCCTCGATTCCTGGGAAGCCGCCGCTCGGTGTCGGATCTCTGTCCCTGAGTGAGGACCCCAACCCTAGCGCCTCTGGCACTGGGAAAAGGTAACCCAGATGTGGCTTTCTTAAGGCCCTTCAGGTAGAAATTTAGGACAAAGAACCAGGGTCAGAGTTCAGTCTCCAATTCCCACTTATTTGAGATCTATGTGCTGGTAGATCCATTTGGAGGGGTTCTATGTTTCTGAAAAACAAGTTGGAGACATATACTAAGATATATTCTTTAGTTTGTATAGGGAAAGCAAACATCCCATGATTTTATCTTCTTTGGCTTTTTTTTTTTTTTAGGTTATGACTGCCTCCTTGTTTCTCATGTTACTTTTTTATTTCTCAAGACCAGCTAGGTGCCTGGAATTTCCTTCAAAGGGACCCAAGATTGTCCTTTACTTCCATGCTTGGGGAAGATTCAGCTGCCCCTAAGAAGGGATCCCTGGTCTGTCTCACTTGTGGAAGTGGGCTCTCTCTCTCTCTTTCTTTCTCTCTCTTTCTCTTTTGCTCTTCTGCCATTCATTCCAGGCCATGGCCTTCCTTCCCTTTGAAGGACACAGTGCTCAAAATTCCATCTTGAAAGCACAGGTATTGGATGCAAAACTGCCAGTTCCTTGATTTTCAACTTCTCCAGAAATGTGACAAAAATGGTTCCTCTTCTTTATTAAGTTACAGTCTCAGGCATTCTGTTATAATAGTACAAAACAGATTAAGACAGAAAGCCCTCAGTGGGTAATGACAAGAAGAGATGTATACATACCCCAACTCCCTCCCCTCTCAGGTGAACTAGCCCAGGGGTATTTTCCCCATATTTCTACATGAAGTTCATCTTCAGTGATCCTAAGAGTTAGGTGGCTTGTTGAGGTGACTTTTATTATCTATCTCTGGTCTCTGCCTCACTTTCTGCCTTCCCTCCCAATGTAAATATGCTGCCTGCACAGAAATCCTTCCTGCTGGTGGACAACCCAAGACAGTGAAAAAATTCCAATTCGTGAGACGGCTGTATCTCTTGTGTGAATCCTTATTACTTCTCCCTTTTTGATGAGGAAAAAGAACAGGAAGCACTTAATTCCCTTTTGCCAATCTATCTTAGATTTAGTTTATACAAAGAAAACTTAGGCAATACCATTCAGGACATAGGCATGGGCAAAGACTTTATGACTAAAACACCAAAAGCAATTGCAATAAAAGCCAACATTGACAAATGGGATCTAATTAAACTAAAGAGCTTCTGCTCAGCAAAAGAAACTATCATCAGAGTGAACAGGCAACCTAGAGAATGGGAGAAAAGTTTTTCAATCTATCCATCTGACAAAGGCCTAATATCCAGAATCTACAATGAACTTAAACAAATTTACAAGAAAAAAAACAAACAACTCCATCAAAAAGTGGGCAAAAGATATAAACAGACACTTCTCAAAAGAAGACATTTATGTGGCCAACAAACATACGAAAGAAAGCTCATCATCACTGGCCATTAGATAAATGCAAATCAAAATCACAGTGAGATACCATCTCACACCACTTACAATGGCAATCATTAAAAAGTCTGGAAACAACAGATGCTAGTGAGCATGTGGAGAAATAGGAATGCTTTTACACTGTTGGAGGGAGTGTAAATTAGTTTAGCCATTGTGGAAGACAGTGTGTCAATTCCTCAAGGATCTACAATCAGAAATACCATTTGACCCAGCAACCCCATTATGGGTATATACGCAAAGGACTATAAATCATTCTACTATAAAGACATATGCACACTTATCTTTATTAAAGAACTATGTACAATAGCAAAGACTTTGAACCAACCCAAATGCCCATCAGTGATAGACTGGATAAAGAAAATATAACACGTAAACACCATGGAATACTATGCAGCCATAAAAAAGAATGAGTTCTTGTCCTTTGCAGGGACATGGATGAAACTGGAAACCACCATCCTCAGCAAACTAACACAGGAATAGAAAACCAAACACTGCATGTTCTCACTTGTAAGTAGGAGCTGAACAATGAGAATACATGGACACATGGAGAGGAACATCACACAATGGGGCCTATGTGGGGACAGGGGACAAGGAGAGGGAGAGCTTTAGGAGGAACACCTGATGCATGCAGGGCTTAAAACCTAGTTGACAGGTTGATAGGTGCAGCAAATCACCAAGGCACATGTATACCTAAGGAACAAACCTGCATATTCAGCATATATATCCCATAACTCAAAGTAAACAAACAGACAAAATGCAGTAATTCCTTTCTTGTGACTCACAAAATAAAGCTAAAAATTGATACATACCATGAAGACCACAGTAGAGGCAATGGAGTAAATTTCTCCCACTCTTAAAGGCCACAGGTCAGTGGATCCCCAAGTCCCAAATTATTTCTAGCTTTCTTGCCTCATAAATCTGTCCTGTGAGTTTTCATTCAGATTTAGGATTGGACAGTTGTGGAGATGATAAGAGCTAGTTTAGGGACAAATATGCCCCCCCCCCAAAGATATTCATGTCCTAATATCTGAAATCTAGGAATGTTACTTTATATGTCAAGGAACTTGACAGATGTGATTAAGTTAAGAAATTTGAGGTCAGGAGAGTATCCTGGATTATCTGGGTCAGACCAATGTAATCACAAGGGTTCTTATAATAGGGAGTGCAAGAGGGGCACAGTCAGAGAGGAGGTAGAACAATGGAGAGGGGTGCTGAGGGGAGAAAGGATGGGGTCATGAAGCCAGAAATGTGAGGGTATCTTGTACACAAAAGCATAGTATCTGATTCTCTACCTTGGAGCCTCCAGAAAGAATACAGCCCTACTCACTCTGTGATTTTAGTTCAGCGAGACTTCTGACCTTCAGAAATATACAATAATATATTTGTGTTGTGTGAAGCCATTGAGGTCATATTTATTTGTTCCAACAATAATAGGATACTAGTGCATGAGGAAGAGATGTCTGTTTCCTTCTGCATGCTTGGTTGCTCTCTGTTCTCCCAAGAAAAGTGAATCTCGTAATCATTTGCCATCAATTTTCATAAGAGACAGAATACATCCCATTGTGGGCTGGAAGGGAGGGGGTGACATAGCACCAGAATGCTCCTAAGAATTCTCCTAAAATGTCTTGGGTCAAATCCCTTGAATGGCTCTTGAACAAGCTGGGTATTTAAGAGCCTAGTGGTCAGCTCTCACGGCACATGAGGGGAGAGGGAACTGTAGGGTTTTTTATATACGCATATATATTAGGAGGGCAAATTAAACGTGCAGAACACATTCTGAGAGAGACAGACTGAGCCAGAGAGATTGAAAAAGAAATAGAAGATGTAGAAAGTGTCACAGAAAAGAAAGAAGTGTTCTTGCTCACAAGTCCAAAATAAAATCATTCACAGTTGGTAAAGGCATTGACAGACTTGTGTTTTTTAGAGGACACTGCAGATAAAGCTAGTTTATGATTAAGGTCAGCATGGTGTGAGGCAGAGGCAACAGGGAGCTGTGGAGTCCACACTGTCCCTACAGTGTCTTCTCCCTTTTTACAGCCTGTGGGCTCAACCATGGGATGAAAATGGCTGCATGAAAGGAATATAATAAGGGCAGGCAGATTTGGGTGACATCCCAGCCACGCACGTGCTGATCATGTGACTTTGGGAACACCACCCAGGAGGTCTGGTAATTGGTCTCCTTCCCTGTGAATTAGAGAACTATGCATATCATGGGGTGCCCTGAGGATTTAACCAGATGATATACCTTGAAGTATATGTGTGTGAATGTGTAGAGATAAATATACACATATATATGCATATAGAGATATGTATATATATTTATTTATCAGATAAATATGTTTGTGTATGTATATATATTAATCTGATAAATATGTATAAGTTTAAATACGTGTATACATGTATGAAGTTTATACATATATATGCATGAAGCTTAGAGCCACTGCAGTCCTGTAGAGACCATGAGGCATTGAGCCAAGGCAGAAAATCCAATGTGGTAAAGGTGACAAAGCAGAAATGTGGACAGAATCAGGGCCTTTCTCCTTTCACCAAGCTGCTGTTCCAACCCTAAATACTTCTTCCAAATTCGGAATATATACATAT